TATATATATATATATATATAGTAGGCCGCTCTTGAAAATTGATGCTCAACTGCATGTACATTCTAATCATTCATTCATCATTCATCATTCAGTCTAGAATATTTCAGGCTATATTTCTTGAATAATCAGAGAGAACAATATGGACAACAACATGAAGATTTGACATTACAGAAATAAATTATATTCAAATAAAGAAATAACTGGTATCATAGAGTATACCATAAGTGGCAGATAATCATAACTATTTTATAATAATAGTTCCAGAGAATTGATTTGCAGCCAAGTTCTAAAGATTGAAATATTTCTAAAGCTCGTTAGCAGATGACGAACGCAGATCCATGTCATTGAGACTCACATTTGAATAACTTATAGCTGCGTCAACATTTCGTGCCAATTGCATAAAGCAAATCGCTGTTTCAATTTTTACTTAGTATCATTATAGCATGTATTTTGTTTGGTAACACAAATCAATCCAAAGGTCATTTTATCCTTCTTGATATTTTATAAATAAAGATAGAACGGTACTTATGCCATCAAATGAAAAGAAATAAAATCGACATTAGAGAATCAGTTTTAGATGTTGAAAAATCGAGTGGTAATCTAACATCTGGTTAATCCGACCGAGAAATCGCGACCTATTTCGAGATCGGCAAGGGAAAAGATAATCGATTACCTGAATCGAGTTCGGCCTGTTCGATGGCCTCATCGGCGGTCTTCAGCCAGCAAGGTTCCTTGTCGGGGATCGGCATTGACGGCTCGTTTACGTACGTAAAGAAGGTCTTTCTCGTGGCATGCTGGAGGCAGGGCCGCGACGGAAACGTCATCGTCATGAGTGCCTTTGTTAGGCTGGTGATATGTTTAAGACCCGCCATCACTTCGTCCGGTCACGTCGTCTACTGGTTCGTTTATTGGTTGTCACCGGTGTTGAAATCACTCCCGCCGGCGCACTGTTCGACTCTAACTCAGATTAATTCACAAGAGTGTGGAGTGAGCGTCAAAAACCTCTTCACCCCTCCTATCCATACACCTCCGTGGGAAACTCTAAAATGCAACGACCATTACTCCACGTCTCCACTCACTCCACTGATTCCACTGTCGCGTTGCCGCGCGAAATTCAATAAATGACAGCAAACAGATCGCGGGAAGCCGGAAAGTGGGAGGCGACAGACGTAAGGAGAATGCGTCAACAGCTCGACGGTATATAAGACGGGGAAAAATTCAACCAATCAGAATTCTTTATTTCATGGAAAGAAAGGAAATAAAGGAATTTGATTGGTTCATTTTCTTATGTATTTATGTGTTATGTGTTATGCAAGAGCTATGCTCCCCGCTATAAACTAGAGAGTCTCAAAGGGAGAGAGCGGAGAGTTGCAAACTGCATCATATGATCCTCGTCTCCTCTGATTGGAGTGATTGGACCACGGACGTATGAATATCTGGATGGATTGTAAAAGCTAGCTTACTAGTGAGAAGACTGAGATCCTCGCGGCGGGAGAGTTCGCCATCTTGTTTGGCGACATTTTAGGCGCTTTATTTAAAAATCGATATATGTATTATGATATTATTTGTATTTCTAGTGCATAAAAATAGGATTTTGTATGAGACAAAGTTAATTTAACGATTGTGTGCAATTAAAAATAATTTTCTGTTGATATTAAAAGAAGTAATGAATATATATCCATTACTTCTTTTAATATAAACTGAAAATTATTTTCAATTGCACATAGCTGTTAAATGCCATTTACAAATCAAGTAATTAAAAAAAGGGTTATACGTCAAATTATTTTAATGCTGAACCAGAGAGAGAGAGAGAGAGAGAGAGAGAGAGAAAGAGAGAGAGAAAATATAATAATTGCAAGTAATAACAGTTAAGGCGTAAAAATCCTAATATCCAAAATCATGTTAAACATTATTAATATAAAATATATAATACTGTCTCGAATTTTATATTAATATTTTAACATGGCTTTAGATATTATTAAAATTTTAATTTTTATACGACTTTAATTGTACGTAATTATCGGTACATTGATAATGACCTTGTAGATCGAGACATTTATTCAATTATATGAAATTTAATTTCACATTATTTCCGAATTAGTATTAAAGTGACTTATTGGCTCGTAATCTCTTTTTTATTATTTATTTTATATTGAATCTTTATGTATTTTATTGTATAGGTTATAAATATGTACTGATGAAAACTTATTTCGACATTTTGTTCTTGATTAATTTGCTCTTTAGTTTTTCTGCTTTTATTGCTACAGCCGATTGCAACATAATGTGGCATTGTTGATGTTTTATTTTAGAAAAATATAAAATTTTGTATGCGTAATATTAGTTGCTTTCCATTTGCACACAAGTGAAACTGAGTCCGAAGTGAGTAGTTCATACTCAGATTAATGACGTCATTATTTGCTTAGTTTGATAAATAATTATCACAGACAACACAGGTTCGAACCTGACTTTTAAAGTGAGTTTACGAAACTTACTAAAGCACACAATCTCGATCTTGTGCAGATTATAGGCAAAAACTCAATTAAATCTCACTTGTCAGAATGTAAAAGGAACGCGCATTCAACTGAGTTATGACGTCATAAATGAGAATTCTGAGAATCGATGTAAATGGAAAGCAACTGTTCTCGTCACGGTATTCAGTAGCGATATCACACACAGGCTACATTCCGTTTCATGCATGAAGCGAATGATTATTTATCCTTATTTAACATTCGGAGAATTATAAGGGTATCGATTCTCTAACTTTTTTATCATGGTGAAAATGTGAGGCATCTCACATTCCCTAATTTTCCCCGCGTGATTCCCTAATTTTCATCATGGTGCAATTGCGAACAATCTCAGGGTAGTTTGTTTGGCAAGAAATTTCTTGTCGAATGATAAGATCTGAGAAAAAAAGGCTGAGAAATAGAGTAAGAGAGGAACCACAGCCGACTGAATCGACTGAATTGACAGTTTTAAGGTTAAATATATAATCTTGCACAGTTCAAAAATAAAATCAAATGGCAATATACATGGTAGCAATTTTGTTACTGGATAAAAAGGATGAAAAGGTCTTTGAACCACATATGAGAATTGCACGAAGAATGCTTAGAGATATTCATTTTCTTAGAGATATTCAATAAAATTGACTTTGTAGAAAATCGTTTAGGCCCAGTTCCATAACTCACGGTTTACTTTTAATTGAAGTTCGACTTATTCGTCATCCGTTTTCAATTCTAGAATTGAAAAAAAATTAGAAATAAATAAATGAACTTTATGGTCATGGTCCGATTTATGCTGACAACGCTCATGAGTATCATTTATCTTCGTTTAACAATTGACAAACAGAATGAAATGATTTTTAAACATTATGAGCGTGAATCGGACCGCGGATTGTGTTTCACTTCACATTTTTCTCACACCGGCAAATTTAGTGATTTCGTATTTTTACTTCATCGTTACAAAATCACGTGAGATGAAAGTGCGAAAAGTGAGTGATCTCACTCGAATTAAGCTAGTTCTACATTAGTTGCGAGCAAATCGCAAGTTTGTTGCGACAGTCAATATGAAGTGTTGATTTCAAAATGCAAGCTTCAGATTGGCTGTCGCAACAAACTTGCGATCGGCTTGCAACTAATGTAGAACCAGCTTTACAGAATTGGTCCAAGGATAAATAATGCAGCATGTAAGAAACAGAACCCAGCCACAGTTACTTTATTAATAATTTTAGATGCCGCTAGAAAGCAGCATCAGTGTTGCCAGACAATATGGCGACCCCCTACTCCCTAAAATCTTCACCTTTCACTAAAGACCCCGTCCAGATATTATACGTTCATGGATTGGACACGGGTATCAAAGCTCCATGGGCTTGAAAAAAATTGGAGAAAACTGGTCACGTGACCCCTTTTCTTCTTTTTCTTCTTTAATTGACCTCACAATGGTCTGGACTTGGTCGTTGATGGTCTTCGAAATATGAACTAAGGTAAATTGAATGCAAGACATCGACCACCTCGAATCGGGCGAAGAGTTCTAAAAAAAAAAAGATGATGTAATTCTAACGAAAATGGCGAGGCGCTCCCTCAAACATTGAACGCTTGATACTTCCATGCCGTACGATCGCCGTACGCGCGCCAAGACGAATGAAGATACTTCGGATAATGTAATGCAATGGCACTGTTGAAGCCGGCAACACTTTTTAAAAATATATTCGAGGTGATGCAACACCCGAGACGAGAGGGAACACGTCCGACCCCGCTCGAATGATCCCACGAGACTTTGACCCCCATCCTGATTGGACGCGGGCATTGACATGCTCTAGCGTAAACTGAATGCAGCACCGCCGCGCCGCCGTGCTGGATTTATGAGCCACACATCACACGTATGAAAATAGCGCTATATCGCAAACGATATGAATACAGCGTTAGTCGTCACGAGTTTTCGGCTTTTGCGTTTCTCGCTGTGTGTCTCGCTCTCATTAGTAGCCAGTAGTATCAGTACTGGCTGTAGTGGAAGAGATATAACATGTGTATGAATAATAGTGTCTCTCTCCTAAAGGTTTGTTCGCGTCGCATGCTTCAACATGTTCTATCTTTCTATATAACTTGTACTCATTCTAATGAGCGCATTTGAGTGAATAGGAGCTATGATTGGAGAAAATAGAAGCATGCGACGCGAACAAAATCTTAAATCTCTATCGTCTAGAACGATGTGTAGATAGGGTGCGTTCTGTTTCATGCATGATGCGTATGCATTAGTTATTCTTTTTATTTATCGAAAGTTAAACAAAAATAAATGATGCATTATGTACATCATGCGTGAAATGGAACGCAGCTATTTTTCATAAGGAAAAGCCGCTCGTGAAACACGAAACATGATACAGTATTCATAGTCCGTTTTTATTTTAAATTGTCTTAAATATAATGTCTTAAGATGTTAATACAGTCTTTTTAATTGACTTATGACATCTTAAAATTGTACTTAAAACAAAATTCTCTCCGTCTCATCTTAAAGCAAAAGAGAAACAGAAACAGAGAGTTTTAAGCCTTGC